GGGACAATTGGTGTGGCTCTGGGGCTCTATCAGATCTATTATTACAAATCTCTACTGATATTGCAATAAATTTGAACGCTACAATGAAAGGCGTTTGGAATGGTGACCACACAATCCCTTATTTTGTTAGCAATAAAATCCCGGATCTTTTCAATAATATACATCATATAGTGGTTACTGAGTTGGAGGATAAAACAATTTGGAGTGCTACAGATTCTGAGATTCTCACTTTTAAGACTACTTGTGAATTTGTACAGGATAGGAGGCCTACGGTCTCTTGGCACAAGACTATTTGGGCTAAATATGTTCCACCATCAAAATCACTAGTTCTTTGGCAAGTTATTCAACAGCTCAAGGTAAGAGTGTTGCAGGTAAAATTAATAATAAGTTAATTAATTTTAAAAGGTTGTTTGGAATGTTTTGTAAGGGTTAAACATTTTTTAAATTGATGTTATTAGGACCATCATTGTAGAGTATTTTAAATTTTAGAGAGTTAATAATAATTAAAGATGGGAAGTAAGTGAATATAGAGATGCAGAAATAAATATTTTAATTAACACATGTCTAACATTAACCCTTTGAGTCTTAAAAATATTAAGAATCCAAGTATAATTCTAAGTCTCATATTGTGTAAGAATATGAAAATTGAGTAACATATAAGGAAGTATGACCCATAACCCAATCCTTTAAGGTTTTGGGTTGAAAGTGGTATCAGTCCTTATGTGGGCTAGACTCATGTTTTATTGATGTGTTTCTTCTATGTGAATCTCTTTCTAAAGACCCAAGAAGTGGTATCAGAGCCAATGATTTTCATGACCGACTCAGTTGAATATGATTATAGTAGATGAAAGGTCTTTGTGTCGAAAATCTTCCTGATAAAGGTTTCAAGCAAGCGAGTCACGTTAAGTTGAATGACAGTACAAGTAAGGTCATCACTAGGTATTCATGGCTAAGAAATGATTTCGCTCGAGGGGGAGGTATACCGATGTGAAAAAAAATCACACTTGAGGGAGAGATTTTGAGAATTCAAGTGTGAGTTTGAAGTCTCACATTGGGTAGAAATGAGAAAGTTGAATAACTTATAAATGAGAAAAAATCATAACTTAATGTCTTAAGGTTTTTAATTGAATGTGGTGTCATATTCTTTTATATGGTTGACTCGAGTCCCATTTGTGAGAATCTCTCTATTTAGCCCCTTGGAAAGATTGAACAAAAAATTAAACATAAATACATATTTAACATAAATAATCATTCTATGCATACTAATGTTCTCTTTTGGGGGTGATAAGATGTCTTATAATAATGATCTTCAATTAACCCATAAATCAATTATTCATAATTTTAGTACGCTTAATTTTAAATAAATAACATCTTTAATTGTTATTAACCATTCATAAATTTTAATAAATATGTAGATTATTTACATGATAAAATATTATGTGTCATGCCAGACCTTTATTTACATTTCATGTAAAATTAAAACTTGTCATCAATTTAATATTTTTATGCACAAGTTAAACACAACGAAAACAATTTAATTCAAATTACAAAACAATATTTGTAATTGAGGCCTTTATACACGGGCACATCAATACATTATTTATATAATAAAATACATTAATTCTATATGTAACATAAATCAATAACATCACTGCACTTGAATTTAATTTCTTAAACATATGCACTTTTGAAAGAAAACTATAATGACATATAACAGATGAAAATTAAATAAATAAATAAATAAATATTCACTCTCCTCAAATACCATTGTGCATAAAACCTTTAGAATAACCTAATTCAATTTTGATTATTATGACATGCCGCAAATTGGAACCAATTCACCACAATGGGGCTTTCAATCACACATAGTGGCAACGGAAACACACATATGCTTACACTCATGATAGCTATCCATTCAATATGCAATTCAATTAAGAGATTTTGAAATTGTTTGATCGAATTACAAATATTCATAATTTTATAATTTCAATTTAAAATCAATTGTAGCGGAAAACAAAAAAACCCTAAAACTTATAATTAGGGTTCCCGCTAATTTGATAGAGAAATCCTAAAATTCATAATTATGACTTATCTTAATTTAGAAAAAAAACATAATTTAGGAAAAACATAATTTGGAAAAAACTACCATAAATAAATCTAATATCAATACAAATTGTAAATCAGTAGTTGTTTATATTCTCATTTATTCTAGAAAACTACTCTACATGATCTTTAAATTCATAATTCTCACAAAATAACATAAATCATAATAAGGAGACTAATCTTGTTCTATGAGAAATATCTAATAAGAATATGTTATTCAATGTTTTTGTTTTCTAACATCTTTTTCCTAATTTATCTCTTTGTTTTTCCTTCTCTTGTCACATTTTCCTAATAATTTACTATTAGAAAAACCTTATGGCGAGAGACGAACCTTAACCCTCTTTTTATTAACCAATTTCTAGTTAGTTTTTATTTTATTTTTTCTTTATTTTATTATGATTTTCTATAATAACTAATACGTCCTTATATTTTATTAAATAATATTTGGATCTATCATTATATTTTACATTACTCACATGATAAAATTTAATTTAATTAATTAATTCTACCAGACATCGCTCTATCTGTACTATGGTGGATAAGGCTTTCTAGAACGTAGATGTTGTTTGTTGGAAAATTAGGAGTATATGGTATAAGAGTTTAAACTTGTATAAAAGAACGAATGTACATATCAGTCATATTTTCAGGGAAAGGAAACATTGTGCTGAATAGATTGGCAATCTTGGTATTGACAATATAATAGGTTTCAATTGTATTAGCATTGATTTCTTCCGAAACAGGTATTCATTATCGAAATATAGGAACATTTTAAATATGATGCGGTTTAGCTGGATCCCCATGTTTATTTTGTATTTTGCTTCTTTATATACATACTTGTGTATGGAGCATATGAAGGAGACTTCCTGGTGTGGTAAGCTAGTTGGATACATGTTTGATAATGATGCTTTACATAAGGATCTTAGTGAAAAATAATGAGAATGTTATTTGAACAATATTTCCTTATATGTATGGATACTATTTGTCTCAATATCATTTCACCATTATTACTTGCTCGAGTTAAACATATAAATAATAGTAAAATTGTAACTTTACATTAAACATAAAAAAGTTAACGTAAAAACTATTTTTTCATATCGAGTGAGATGCAACTTGATGTAAAATAGTAGTTTTTATATCGGTTCTTTCAAAATTTGACATAAATTTTTTCTCTATTATTTTATAATCCGACGAAAGAAAGATGGTTTATTTCTTAGTAATAATTATCCTTGCATGAATCTTTAAATCATCTTGTCTACTACTCATAAGAAGAGGTATGATAAAAACTAAAAAATAGAATCTGAAAATTTTAGTTTATATATAAGAAAAGACTAAACAAGATATTAAACTAGCTATAATACTTGTTACATATGAGTTATTGTTTCTATTAAATAATGACTGTAATGGATTATTGCATGATTAAATTCTGTAACATGTGAATAGTAGTTGTGATTACTGAATACAAAGAAGAGCAATAATGTAGGTAGACTTCAGACTTCAGAGTACTTACATTAATACAAACTTAATTAATTATGTATTTTGAATATCTTTCCTGGGGAGGAGTACGTGGATTTGTTGGTTATTTGAAAGATATACAGAACTATATCAAGAAGGAAGAGGAAAAGAGTAAATAATAAAAGGTTGTATTTTCTTGAATAACATATGCTGTATTTATACAGCAAATAAGTTAATTACAAAAAATATTAAAATTATCGACGGTCAAAATCCGTTGGTAATAATTTTATTATTTATTAAATATTTTACTTATAAAATTCCATCCCCTTTATATTATTTATTCATAGCTTTGAATTATTATCAGTTTAAGAGAAATGTCATTAGCAGAATTAAACCCAGATCTGTAGAGTCGAGAGCGATACTCCAACCACTAAGCTTACTAGAATTTCTTGATAACAATTTACAAATAAATTATATTTATATACAAATATACAAATATATTTATATATTTATATATTTATATATTTATATATTTATAAATTTATATATTTATATATTTATATATTTATATATATTTATATATTTATATATTTATATATTTATATATTTATATATTTATATATTTATATATTTATATATTTATATATTTATATATTTATATATTTATATATTTATATATTTTTATATATTTATATATTTTTATATATTTATATATTTATATATTTATATATTTATATATTTATATATTTTTATATTTATATATATATATATATATTTATATATAATTAAATATTTATTTTTTAAAATTATTTAATTTAATAAATTATTATAAATTAATCTAATTATGATTAAATTAAATTATTAAATCAAAATATTTTATTTTTTAATTAGGTAAATAATTAAATTATATTATCTAATTTTACCGATGGATATATCCGTCGGTAAATAATTGTTAATTCTACAGATGAATTTACCGACGGATATATCAGTCGGTAATTAATTGTTAATTTACCGACGAATTTACTATAAATTACCGACGGATTTATCGACAGATATATCCGTCGGTAACTAATTATTATTTTACCGACGGATATTTCCGTCGGTAACATCAAGTTTCAAAAATATTTTATATCCATCGGTAATTTCCGTCGGTAATGATTATTTTTCGACGGCTACAAATCCGTCGGTATCCGTCACTAATACGCGATTTTCGAGAATCGCATAAAGTGTGAAATTCAAGTCCCATGCTATTTCAATTTTATAGATAAACATGTACTGGATTCTTTTATTCGATGATTTTGCATACATAATACACGCTAGGAAATTAGCAGCAAATTCAATTGCTGTCATTCACTTAAGCAATAGTGTTTTGGATCAACGCTGCTACAGATTATACCCAATTCAGAATTTACAGGCATAATATGGTGTTGCTAATATACTATTCTTTAAGCTATCTTGTAATGATGAATTTGAATGTTCTCCACATTTTGTTTCTTGAAGTTGGTGTTGTGTCTGTGGACAATATACTTGCCCCATTTGTATGGCCTATATTTGGAAGGGCTTTGGCCATTTATCAGCTCCTCCAAAGGCCTGACTTCAGTTTCGTGCGCAGGGAAGAAGAAGAATGGAAAGGAAAATCTTTCTTTCTCAGAGTTGACCACCACTCTGTGTTCTACACTCTCATATGCATCATTGCTCCAAACCTACACAAACAACTCCAATCCTCAAGTCAAAATTTCTCTCCAGGATGAAAGAAATGAAAATACACTTAAAATCATTTTGAATTAATATATGAAAATTAAACTCTAACGACTCACGAACTGACTAAAAATTCAGTAAATTTCATATTGTTTGTAGAAGATGAAAAGTATAGAAAATATCCATTCAAACCAGTGTTTCTATACTGATAGCCAGATTGACCAAACTGATATTTCTAGATGCATAGACAATGGTCTTTGTAGTGGTAGAGCCCTGGTACCTGAACAATATCACCAAGGTTGATGATGTAAGCATCTGGGATGGGTTTAACACTTATCCACTCATCATCTGCTCTACGTTTGACTTCAAGTCCTTCCACCTCATCTTGTGCAAGAATGGTCAAGGCACCAGGGTCCGTGTGTCTACCAACGCCAAGAGCAAGGTGAGGATAAGGGCATGGAGGATAGTGGTTCAGTCGAATAGAGCTAGTTTCATCTTTCATGAAAAACTCTTCAAACTTATTTGCTTCGAGGCCTAAACTCAAAGCTATAAGCTCCATCAACTTAAAGGACAGTTTTTTCATCTCTCCAACATACTCTTCGAGTATATCCCTACCCATATTCATTATTCACACGGTGAATTGCAAGAAAAGCCAAAAGGAAAGTGCAACTTTGTTTGAACCAGAAATTTGACATGCAGTTTATAATAATTACAAAGTGAAGATGAATTACTTGAAGTGTGGAGGGTACGGAGGTGATGGATTAGTCCACTGAGTGAGTCGATCATCGTGCTCATCAGAAGTGAGAGGAACCAAAGTGGGGTCTTTGGCTAGAAAATCAAAGACTTCTTTCCAGTCCCTAACATTCTTGGTGTGCTCTGTGTCATAATAACCCATGGGACATCTCTCATCTCTGCTAACCTTCCTCTTCTCCTCCAGAGTCTGAGAAAAGAACATCTTTGAAGCTTTCTCTATGTTTTGCCTTAGAGTGAGGGGCACCCCATGGTTGATTACTTGGAAGAAACCCCACTCTTTGCATGCACTCCCTATCTCCTTCACTAAGCCTTCAATGGAAGATGAATCTGAAACTGTTTGGCTGGTCATCGGAGAGAGGTCAATTATGGGAATTCCTTCGACTTGGATGGGGGAGAGCTTTGGCATGTCTTTTGATTCTGGGAAGAAAGCAGTGTCTACCTCTGCCATGGCTGTGGTTAGTGCTTATCAGTACTCTGTCAATCAATGGTAGAGAGTGAAGATTTCATGTCTGATTATCAAGGGTTCATATACAAAAAAAAAAAAACAATCACATTTGTATAAATAAAATTCAAGATATCTTTCTTTTTAATAAAATTTCTAGAAAGAATAATAGCATACAAGAGGACAATGACAGATACAACTTTTTTTTCTTTTTTTAGGAAGAAAATTGATGGATACATTTTTTTTACCAATCAACCAACTACCAAATTTGATTTATTAATAATAATAATAATTTTAATTAATTTTATTTTAATTAAACTTTTTTATTATTTATAATATAAATAAATAAAGTTGTCAGTTTTTTTATAATACAACCATTTTAAAATTTATTTTAATAATATAATATTTAAAACATAAACAATTAATATTTTATTATTATTATTATTATTATTATTATTATATTTAAAAATGAGAGGTCGAATGATGGCTATCTACCTTTTTCTAAAACACGTTGAATGGGGACTAATTTTCTGTTTTGTCATTCTCTAATTAAATCTTCTTTTTACATGTGGTTTAACTTCTTTGAGAATAAGTAATAATAATTAGAAAATGGATTTGAGGAAATGAAAAATGATGTATTTGATGGGAAAGAGAGTTGAAAATGAGATTGTTTGAATAAAGGAAAAATTAATTAACGTGAATGATAAAAAAAATATTTTGACAGGAAAAATTTAAAGATGACCAAATTGCTCATTTAATCTGTGTTTGTTTCTGTTAATTTACGGATTAAGTGTACCTAATGATGAGTAGGGAACGTGTGTTTTAAACTATACACGAGAATTTGAAGGCGCAGATTGAAAGGTAGGATGAGTTAGAGGTCCTTCACGAGAGTGAGGAGATGAGTGGAAAATACAAGTCACTGTTATAATTTACCCGATTCCCTTCCCTTTTATCAGTTTCGTTGTTTGGATGACACATGGACGTAGGCAATTCCCTTCGTAACATATATTCATGTCACACATAATAACAATTCTCTATTTTGTTGACTGGAGGTAGTTAAGGTTTTTAACGTCATTAAAAACTTGTGAGTGCAATAGATTGAGTAATTGAGTTTTTAAATATCATTAAATATTCAGGAATCATTGTAGTAGAAGGTAACCCCTTAAAATTTATTATGTAAAATTTTTTAAATATAATTTATTAAATTGTGTTATTGAATAATTTAAATATATTTATAATAAAATAAATGTTTATTAAAAATATATTATTATTGTCAAATTATTATTAAAAACAAATTAAATATTTATTAAAATTATTATTATTATTGTTTAATTTATAAAGATAAAAAAGAAGAAAATATTATTTTTTTCCTTTTTAAAAATATATATTATTAAATTGTTATATATAAAAATATATCTATTAGACAAAATTTATTTATTATATATTTATTATTAATAATATATATTATTAATTTTCAAAATATGATTTAAAATAAGTGTAGGGAAAAGCGTGGAAACTTATTGAAATATTTTATTTCCAAAAATTACGTTAGTCATTTGTTTAATGAAATTATATTTTTCATACAAAAAAAAGAAACGTTCACAATTATTTTGACTTATTTCGTACTTGGCTACAAAATAAGTTTATCGTAGATCTCCTTTTATTTAATTAGGGATGACAAAAGCAGGTTAACTCTCGTTTTGGCTCGCCAAAAGTAGGCGAGGTGGACTGATCCACTATAGTCATAACGGGTTGTAAACCTTGGTCCACCCGCCATGAGGCGGGTTAGTGGTCGACTAGCTATAATTTAAAAAAATTAATTTATTTTTTTAAATCAAAATTTTCAATAAATTTAATAATAAGATTATTATTTGTTTGTTAATAAATATATATATATATATATATATATATATATATATATAACGTTAAAACTTATAAAATTTATATTTTTTATATTGAAAAATTCAAATACTTATATCTTTTTTATTTGATCAAACTTCACATTGTTCTCGCTTGAGTAATTCGTACACATTTAATTCAAGTTATAAGGACAAGAATAATCGGTACATAGGGTGAATAAGGAGAACAAGAAAGAAAAACTTGTGTTTTAGTAAGGAGAATATTTTATGTAAGAGTGAAACTTTTTTAATTCTCTTTTTACAAATTTTAACTTTATATATTATCTTTATGATTAATTTTTTTATAATAAAAATTTATTTTTTTATTAATTAAGTGGATCGTGGACTGGCCCACCCGGTTCAGTAGGTTGGCCAAGTGGGTTGGCGGGCTTGGCGGGACGAACCAGAGTGAGTCGACGGGCTAAAAACACTAACCCACCTCCCATATTATGACTGGCTGGCGAGCCGATCCACCGAACCTGACCCATTTTGTCATCCCTATATTTAATTGTTCGTATAATGAAAGTTAAAGCTGGGTTTAAGTAACTCTTCATAGAATTCTATCACGGGTTATATTAACACAAAAAAACACATGAGTTCATAATTAAAAAAAAATTGGATGGGTAAGATGCTTATGTCTTTGTTGGAACAAAGAAATAAACTTGCCTTAAATGGCGTAAAAAGAAAAGAAAAGGAGAAAAAGACAACGAGAAAGAGAAGGAAGATATGACATTCATTTCTATAATTTTTTTTATCATGATAAGTTTTTATTTTATATTTTATTTTAATTATAATTGTTAAATAAAATATTTCTAATTTTATTTTATTTATTTTGTTATTTATTTATATTTAATTATTTATTAATCTTTTTATTTTATGTATATTTAATCTTTTATTTATTCTATTTTATATTATTTATTTATTTTCAGTCACTAGTTTTATTTTATGTTTATTTATTTATCTAAAATTATGTGATTGATTCTTATTTTTATTTATTTATTTATCTTTAGTTATGTACACTTTCTATTTTATATTTATTTATTTATTTATTTTTAATTACATACTAATCATATTTTATATTTATTTATTTATTTTTAATTATATACTAGTCATGTTTTATATTTATTGATTTTTACTTATGTAATAGTCTTATTTTATATTTATTTATTTATTTATTTCTAGTTATATATTTTATATTTATTTATTTATTTATTTATTTATTTATTTCTAGTTATATATTGATTATATTTTATTTATTTTAATTATATAATGATCTTATTTATTTTATTTCTAAACATTTATTCTTGTTTATTAATTTACAATTATATTATTTTATTATTTTTAAATAATTATAGATGGAAATTGAATTTTAAGAATTGAAATGAATAAATATCAATAAAAAATAATTAAAATAAAATTTATTTATCTTGACTCATCATTATATATATATATATATATATATATATATATATATATATATATATATATATTATATATTTACGTTAATTAAGGAAAAAAAAAATGGCATAACCCGGGGTGCTTGTAAGAGGGTTACGGTTGTTCTGAAGCGGGTGGTGATTATTGGTGAAGAAGTGGTTATTTCTAACACTGTGCCTTGGTGAGGTAAGTACTGAGGAAGGAACAAAACCGATTCTGGAATTAATTCTATCAGCTATTAATTACTGCTCAATGAATTGCTACCCTACCACCCATAAATCCTCTCAAAATAGATGTATTTTTTATTCCTTGCCTCTATTCATGAACATGATTAATAACAAAACATTGGAGCTTAGTTTGTTGAGAGGGACAATACCTACTTATAGTATTATGCTTATTTCTAGACCACATGCCAACTGGCCCTCTAAGTTTACAAACAAATTATTCGTTCATAAGAAACAAAAGAATCTCCTATTTTTGGGTAGAAAGAAGAAAAAAAAAACCCTTACCATCTACTTAAAATAATTTAGTATAAAATATACTACGATATTATTTTATAAAATTGGCATCAATTTAATATTAAAATATGTTAATATGAAAATAAAATTAAGTGTAATTATAGCATATTAAAATTAATATGAAATTATCACTTATCATATATTACAAAAAATTGATATAAAATATAGTATAATATTAATTTATGAAAATAGTATTAATTTGATATTAAAATATTATAATACAATAAAATTGAAGTTTAATTATAATACATAATTTCTATATTAAATTGTTATTTATAATTTAGTATAAAATATACTATAATATTATTTTATGACATTTATATTAATATACAAAATATTGTAACAAAAATATATTTAAATAAAATTATAAGATATTAATTTTGTTATGAAAATTTGTGTTAGTAATTAAATTCTAAAATTGTTTGTCTATATTTTTATAATTTAATATGTAATTTATTTTATAACAAATCATTCTTAATAATTTATTTAAAGTTAATGAGATAGACAAAACAATTTAGTTAATTAATCACGTAAATTTGTATTTAATTATAATTTTTATTAATCACATTTTATAATTATTTGATTGCATAATTAATTTAATTTTATTAATTTTTATTATGGACAATTATATGTAATTTATTTTTACAAAATAATATATTTTTTTAACAAATTATTGTCACTTTAATTTAAATTAACTTTAAACAATCATATTCTAATTTTAAATTTTATTTTATTTAATATTATCACTTACAGTTTATTTCAAATTAATTTCTACCAATTTCATTTTATTTTAATATAATTTCTTCAATTAAAAGTTTTCTATTTTAAATAATTATTCACATTTCATTTTAACGTACTTTTCACCAACTACATTTTATTTTAAATTATTTTTTAAACACAATGGTAAAATTGTATTACAATTTTATCAATTAAAATAATTTTAATCTACCAAATCAATTATATCACTCACAAATTTTTCTCTTATTTCTTTTTATTTATTACCATCTTTCTTTTTATCAACTAATCTCACTTTTATCTCCTTTTTCCTTTAAATATACTTATTTCCACTTTCTCAAATTAATCTTAAAATCCAAACACAAGCTTAATTGATTTACAAATGATGAGAAATAAATCCTCACCCTCCTTCCGGTCATGAGCTACTTTTCTAGCTAATTGCATTAAACAATGTGGTTATTCTATTGCATTCAATAACAATGTCTTATAGTCGTTTTTGTGAGAGTAGAACGTCAAATTAGTCCTTAGTAATGGCAAAATTTGTTACGTTCGGTGGGTCAGCTTGCTGGTGGGATGGATTAGTATTTTCAGCTCACAAGTTTCGCTCCCACCAACCCGTAGGGTCAACATCCGGGACGAGATGGACCAGACTTCGTAATCTACCTAATTAATAAAAAAATAAATTTTTATTGTAATAAAATTAATTATAAAGATAATATATAAAGTTATAAATTTTAAAAAGAGAATTAAAAAAATTTCACTCTCACATAAAATATTTTTCTTATTAAAACACAACATTCTCTCTCCTATTCTCCTTATTTATCTTAAACACTATTATTTTTATCCTTATAATTTGAATTAAAAGTGTAAAAATTACTCAACAAAAAATAATACGAAATTTTATCAAATGAAAAAGATATAAATATTTAAATTTCTCAATATAAAAAATATAAATTTTATAAATTTCAACATTATTTATATATATATATATTTGTTATTGTAAATTTTATTATTATTCTAAATTATAATTTCTTAAAATAATATATTAATTTATATTATTAAATTAAAATAATATATATATATATATTAAATTATTAATAAATAAATAATAATTTTATTATTAAATTTATTAAAAAAAATTATTTTAAAAAGTAAATTAATTTTTTAAATTATGATACCCGCCCTTAAGAAGACGGATCAAGGTCTACATATACTATTATAACGGGCCGCGGCCCGCCCCACTTTTCGCGGACCAAAGCAGGCGGCCGCAAAACGGGCATCCCTATATATATATGTGTGTGTGTGTTTGTCTTAGTTTTCCATTATTTTATGAATTTAATTATATTTCTTTGATTTTCTGTATACTCTTCTACTCTCTGCTTTTCTCCTCTCAACCTTATTGCGCGTTGTTAGGGTTCAGTGAGACAGTGGCGAGGCAGTGACTTAGAGTTGCCACAAAAAAATCCTAGTTGAAGCGAGAACTCACCATTTCCAGGGTTCTAGGGTTATCTCAAATTGCAAGAACATGGGTTTCAACATTCAACCTTATGGAATTCAATCCATGCTCAAGGAAGGCCACAAACACCTTTCTGGTCTCGATGAGGCGGTTCTCAAGAACATCGACGCCTGCAAACAACTTTCCACTATCACTCGAACTTCCCTTGGACCCAATGGTAACAATCATGCTTGCCCTCATTCGTTTTCACGCTTTTTAACTACCCCTAGTGGATGTTGCCTCTCCAGATTCCAAAAGTTTGGATTTTTGTAATGTGGGTTTATGTCCGTTTTCATTTTTCTTGATCTAGCGTTACGTGATGCAGTGCTAAGAGTAAATGTAATTTGCATGGATGTTTGAGGAGGCTTGAGAATCAGTAGTTTTTGTTTTTCGTTTAAGAAGAGAATTTGCCCATTTTGGTTCTGGGGTGGTTTTTTGTTTGTTCTTGTACGAATCTGTTGCTATTTGGTGTTTAAAGAAGGAAGTGTTTGTCTGGATAGATTTAGATTGTTTGTAATGTTTTGTTTGATCTGGTTCAGGTATGAATAAGATGGTTATAAATCATTTGGACAAGCTTTTTGTCACGAATGACGCAGCGACTATTGTGAACGAACTTGAAGTTCAGCATCCTGCTGCCAAGATTTTGGTTTTGGCTGGGAAGGCTCAACAAGAGGAGATTGGGGATGGAGCTAATTTAACTATTTCATTTGCTGGGGAGCTCCTGCAGGGTGCTGAGGAACTTGTCAGGATGGGTTTACATCCGAGCGAGATCATCAGTGGATACACTAAAGCAATCAACAAGGTTTTTGATTAGAACCTTAGTGATTCATCTTTAAATATATACTCACGCTGCTCCTTTCTCTCTCTAATTTCTTGTCATGTTTCAGGCTGTTCAAATATTGGATGAACTGGTTGAGGAAGGTTCGGAGACTATGGATGTTCGTGATAAGGAGCAAGTTGTTTCTCGTATGAAAGCAGCTGTTGCTAGCAAGCAGTTTGGTCAAGAAGATACCATATGCTCACTTGCTGCTGGTGTGAGTACATCCTGACCCATTTTACTATAATAAAGTGCTTTGGTAGCATAACACTGTTTACACTTTAACCTTTGTTTGTTAAATAGGCATGCATCCAAGTATGTCCAAAAAACCCTGCAAACTTTAACGTGGACAACGTTCGTGTTGCAAAGTTGTTGGGAGGGGGCTTGCATAATAGCACAGTAGTTCAAGGAATGGTGTTGAAAAGTGATGCTGTCGGGACTATAAAGCAAGCAGAAAAGGCAAAGGTAAGCTTTCTATGTGTTGAATTTTTTTGGTTTTATTGGTGAGACTACTAAATTTATTTGTTGAGGATGAGATCCTTCAAAACTGTTTGACATTGTCAGTGTCCGTCTTCTATACTAGATGATTTAAACACATGCTCTCAGGTTTACTTGTACACTGGGCTCTTCATTGGTTCATTTTTTGATATTTGATTAGTGGGAAAGCTATACCTTAGTTTGACCTGCTTAGAGTAATATATGAAGGCTGCATTTTTAGCTTTTGTCTATTTTATCTTCCTCAACGTATTCTCTCACCTAATCATGCATCCTCATATTTTCCCTTTCTTTCCTTTGGTTTTCTTTATTTTCGCTGCTACTTTTCTTATTATAAATGAAAAGTTAGACGACCAAATCAAAGCATATAAAGGGAGTGGACTAAAGTATTATTATTATTATTATTATTAGTGTAAAAAGTTATAAAAAAAGAAGACAACAATCAAAAACCAACGTAGTAAGCCAAGTTGAGAAGATAGAAAATTGCTATAACTTTAGGTTGAATTATTTGGGGTTGTTGCTGCATTTATAAAAATCTTAGAATGAGATTCATGTTTTTTGATCCACTGCATTTTCTGAAAAGGATTTAATACAAAAATGGATTGGCTGGTTTTGAGATTTGGTTTAACTGACTATTACCTACTACTTATACTGGATCAGTGTTGTGTCGTGCATATTGCAATTGCATAGTTCAACATTGAAACTCTAGTAATTTCAGTGCAGTTATTTGTTCTCTCACTTTTTGTTGAGATGCATATTTTACTATCATCATGGATCAAGATCTGTTTCCATAATCTTCTACCGTGATTCAATTTGATAAAAGATCAATATATTAATGCTTTTCTCCCAATGAAAAGGTATTGTCAAATTTTCATACTGTCTAGTACTGAGGTCTTTTGTCTGTTTTGTTTAAGGTTGCTGTGTTTGCTAGTGGTGTTGATACATCAGCAACTGAGACTAAAGGAACTGTCCTCATACATTCAGCTGAGCAGGTATGTCAAAATGACTAGAGTTTGAATTTGGTCACTATCTTCTCCTTACTGTTTTATATTTGTTTGTACATTTTGTGTCTATGGTATAAACTAGAGATCTATGCCTGTCTCCCTAATAAGAAGGTTGAAAGTGAATTTTGTTAGAGGATACTGTAGATCCAGTAATGGCCATTAGAAACTTGTGTTCTTGTTTCTATTGACATAGTTTTGGAAGGCTCGAACAAGGTATTATTTTGGGCCATGTCATTATTGTCTTGTAGATTTTGTCTGGTGACATTTTTACTTAGGTTTCTGTATTCATTTAGCATGAGATCTTGTGCGCGGCTCTGCTTTATTGCTTCTGCATATTCTGCTAATTTTTAAAACTTGTAACATGTAAAAATCCTAAAATGTATGTAAAAATCCCAGATTGCTGAGTATTTTCAGCTATATGACTGAAACTTCTTTATATCTGCAAATGCTAAACTATAAAACATAATTATTTTCAGCTATATGTATTATATCTTCTTCGGCTATATTTTCAACTATGAAACTTCTCAAATTATGCTGTGATCTGTGCCTTCATCTATTTCAGTCATGCTGAACTTTTTTGAAGTGATTTGCGACTAGATGTTTTTTATTGGAAACAATTTCATGTTTAAATTTAAAGTGGTAAGACAATTTGGCAATAACATTTCGGATAACTTGTTATTTTGATTCTCAACTGTTTGTGTATTAGGTAGTGGTTTTCTTTATTATACTGATAATGTACCAGTGGAGCCTTGATATTTTATGGACCATGATTTTTCTGATGTTTTGTTTTCTTAAATTACTTGATGCTTTGCTAATTTGATATTTTCTCTTCATTTTGATTTATATAGCTAGAAAATTATTCAAAAACTGAGGAGGCTAAAGTAGAGGAGCTCATTAAGGCAGTAGCAGATTCTGGTGCCAAAGTGATTGTCAGTGGGGGAGCAGTAGGAGAAATGGCTTTGCATTTTTGTGAGCGTTACAAGTACGAGAAGTTTTTATCCCTATTTTGTGGTTTTAAGTGTACAAGTCTAGATTGTTTTCTAACTTAAAAAATTCCTGCCTGTAGGCTTATGGTTCTGAAAATCAGCTCAAAGTTTGAACTACGTCGATTTTGTCGAACAACTGGTTCTGTTGCTATGGTTTGTTCTTGTGATTATTTGTTTATGTAGATGTTTTATACTTTCTGTCTAACCAATTATATTTTCCTGCCATAGCTGAAACTCAGCCAACCAAACCCAGATGATCTTGGATATGTGGATTCTGTTTCAGTTCAGGAAATTGGTGGTGTCAGGGTATGTTCAAGCCTGAATATTAATTCTGTCATTTTCTTGGTTCCATGTTTCTTTTTTGTATTAGTTTATGAGAAAAAAGGCTGTGCACTGAGTGTAAAATGGACTGTTTACACCAAGTTGACATGCAATTTCCTCTTATATTGATATGATATGAAGGTGACCATTGTAAAAAATGAAGAGGGTGGAAATTCTGTGGCCACTGTTGTTTTACGAGGAAGTACTGATAGTATACTAGATGATCTTGAACGAGCAGTGGATGATGGAGTGAATACTTACAAGGTAATTTCCAATGTTTTGTAATTTCGAATGATTTTGAAGAGTTAATTTTCTGGTACTCCCCTCCATCAATCTTGTAAAATTAGGGCTGCAAACCTAAGGAATTTTGTTACTATCATCTCTTTGGATTGAACATTTGTTGGCCTTTTTTTAACAACAATTTAATGCTTTAGCTAATTGTAATTTGGGGATTAATCTTTTTCTATGCAATTATTCATCAGGCTATGTGCAGGGATAGCCGTATTGTACCTGGAGCTGCAGCCACTGAAATTGAGTTAGCTAAAAGGGTGAAAGACTTTTCCTTCAAGGAGACAGGGTACTTTTTATTTCCCCTTTCACTTTTAAACAGTAGTTTGTATTCTTGGGGATGCATTTGTGTTTTTTTTTTTTTTTTCTCACACATGCCCCATCTATTAATTTTTTGAAGAGTTTGTCTCATTTGCTGAGGTCTGTGTAACTTGTACGGCACTTTTAAGCAAGTGCAATATTGAGTGATGCCCAAATGGGTAAAAAGACTCGTGAACTTGTATTATCATTCTAATTTTCTTTTTAAACAAAAGTTAGCTTTTAATAATAAATACATGAGAACTCTTGTTTGCTAAATTGTCTACATCTAGGTACCGCATGCTTCAACTTCCATTCATTATAATGTATTTGCATTTCATTGGCTTTTAGCCCTTATGTATTGTTATTATATTCATATTATCTTTCTGGATATCTCTTCCCCTGTTTTGCAGTTGTGCTTTTTTTTTATCACCTGTTTGAAGCCATTTGTTGGGTGATGTCAATATATTTTCTCAGTGGAGTTATTGAGAATTATTAAGGTTAACATAGAATAAACATTTTCTAAAATCTATCTTGATCTCAAATTTTATTATCCATCACCATATATTACTGTGTATTATTATTTGGTAATTGTTACTGTGTGGGTATAGAAACTGTCTGTATGCTTCAGGACCTCAATTATTTTGTTTTTTGCCTTTTTGGTATTTGACATTTTAATGGAATGGACTATTATTTGCAATGGCTCTGCAGGTTGGATCAGTATGCTATTGCAAAATTTGCTGAAAGTTTTGAAATGATTCCTAGAACTTTGGCTGAGAATGCTGGGCTAAATGCAATGGAGATCATATCTTCTCTGTATGCAGAACATGCGTCTGGAAATGCCAAAGTTGGCATTGATTTGGAAGAAGGTGTTTGTAAGGATGTTTCAACCTTGAGCATTTGGGATCTTCATGTGACTAAGTAAGCTACATTCCAACACAAGCATGTTTCACCGTAGTTTGAGTGTGTAGATTTCCTTTATAAGCCTTGTCCAATAAAAAATTGTAAACATTAATTAAGGGCTCTTGTAGTTGATGGAGCTTATGCATTCTCTCAACTTCTAAGATTTGAAGCAATTCTATGGTGAATCAGAATTTATGTTCATATCACCTGTAAGACCAATTTCATCTTATTGTTTTTCTTTCTGTTTAGGTTCTTTGCTCTTAAATATGCTGCGGATGCTGCATGCACTGTACTACGGGTGGACCAGGTAATCAATTAATAATAATCATGTTATTGCCAGTCAATTCCAGATTCCATCTTAGTATGTACCTCAGAAGCACGTGTTTTTATTAGGGAAACAAGCTAAGAAACGTGATTTTTTATTGGTAATGAATATCTATTAAGTAATATCCAACTAAAAATGTGGTCAAGCTGTATTACTGATGTGGACTTTTGGCTCTTTCTTTGGCTTGTTTTATTTTTTATTTTGGGGAGAAACATAGGAAAATGCAACCTGTAGTTAAGAGTAATGCTAATAATATGCACAGCTTGCCTATAATGTGGCCAGAGAAAAGTACGGATAGTTAGTTATAGTAGTTTGGCAGTTGGAGTTGGAAAGTTAGGGAATTTACTTAAATATGAGGAGAGGCTATGTGATTTCTGTTTTGTTATCACCGGAGAAAACTTAGCATTAACTGTCATAGATAGGGAAACCCTTTGAAGGTGAATATTCTCCTTAGGTTCCTGTAAGTCAATTACCGCTGCCAACCAATTATTTTTCTTACCATTTTTCTTATCTCTTCCTTAAAAAAGCACGAAACAAAACCACTTCCTAATAGAACATGATTTTATTTCAATTTAGGGAAGACGCTTTGGCAACAGCAGTTTGTGTTGATCTGAAGTTGAAATATTAAGGCTTAGTTTATATCAATTCTCAAAGAACAGTTATAAAGAAAACAAAGTAAAATGGACTAATAAAATGAATCAAATATATCTCTAAAGTTCAAATCAACCTATGCACCTCAACTTCATTTGAAGCAACCCTCTTTCAATTAACTTCTCCATAAATTGAGGTCCATATGTTGATTTTAACCTACGGGAGTTGTTGGATTTTTGTTACCTTATTTAATCTTATTTTCTTTTAGTACGTGTTTGTGGATAAAATTATCTCGACAACATAATACTAATTATCAGTGCAAAAGCTGAATTATACATCGTGAGCACCCAATGCTTTTCCTTGCTATTTACAGCTGTGGGTAGAGTATGGTATTCATTCAACAAAATAGAGTGCTACTAGATGTTCTCCTCTATTCATTGGGTTGATTTTTATTTCCACTGTTAATTTTATGCAGCAGTACTAAGGATTTTAGGGTAGCTGTTGTAAAACTACGTTGTCTTGTGTTTAAGTAGTGAAAGAGTGTATTGTAATGACAACATATGGTTTACGAAGTCAATAATTAAGGAATAAATGTCTATGACGAGCCCATAAGACCTATGCCATGATAGTTATTAATAATTGCATGTACAGCTTATGTGAAGTTTTTTCAGTATTTTCATCTATTTTTCCTTGAAAAAAAAGATTGGTGAACACCAAGTTAGAATATAGAAATGTTGATATGAAATGATACGATGTAACAAGATAGAGAGAAATTAGAGGTTTCAAATAGGTCTTTTTAATATGGATATTATCATATATCATTGTTTAACTTTCCAAGTGTAAAGTCATGGAAGATGATTTTTAATTATTTTTTTCTTCAGATTATCATGGCAAAACCAGCTGGTGGTCCAAGGAGAGGAGAGCAACCTGCAGGCATGGATGAAGATTAAGACTAAAATTGTGTTAATTTATTGTTCATAAAAATTTTGAATTTTGTTTTTGCCATGAAATACACAGATGTGTTCTGTAAATTTACATTTTATTTATAGCCTTATTGTGAGTGGCGATATTAATTTGCTGAGCATTATCGCCCCGGTCTTTGTTTGAGATTTTCTCATATATGCAAGTTTTTTTGGGTATCAAGACTCTAGTATCATAGCTCTCACTCTTGCAATTTATCTATTATTGAGAAAGAAAACGGGAAAAGTGCAGAGAAGCACTAGTAGATTACGAACAGACACGACTTGAATGCAACCTGCTGTAATTGTTGCGCAAAGAAACCAAAAACAAACAGCGCCTAAAATTAATTTTCTTCCCCCAACATTGTTGTCTTATGTAAACTGATCACATCATCATATGATGCACTAGGCCATATTAATGTTAGGAGGTTTCCATATACAGTAATGATTTTATTAGCTAGAGGGGCATGGCTGATGTTGAAGTGTTTTCAAGTTATTACTCATCACACCTTTAGAAAGTGTGTCGGTTGTAGTCACATTGGTTTCACCGGAACTAACGCTGAATTCAAGGAAATAGCTATGTTGAACATACTGTAGTTGCGAATTCTCCCAATGATCCACAAGATATTAATTATTGTCGCAATAACAATATTTTTTATCTGTGTGCTATATTGTCTATAAAACAAAGAAATAACATCATCAACATTTAGGTATGAAATAGAGAAACCAAATAACTCATCCAGCCAAGACCAGAATCTTTTAGCCACCAAACAAGAAAAGAAAAGATGTGCCATACTTTCATTTGCCTAATCGCAGAAGTTACAACAAGAGCATAAATGGAGATCACGCTGTTGAACTACATCATTTGTCAATTCTATTGTGTATCAATTTCCAAAGAACCAAAGACTTTGAACGACGAATGTTAGCATTCCAAATGGCCTTACACCAACGAGCAATGTTTCTTTGGTACGGATAAATTCTTGCAACCTTGCATGTAAGCAAACCATAGTCACATTCAGTCCAAAGAGCAGTGTCCTGTGTGTCTGATATACTGAGATTGTCCAGTACATTATGCCGACTAAGGGTCCAATCATGAAGTATTTGTGGGATGCACCAAGTAGAACCATTCCAGGCATCACAAACTTCAGAAGATTAACCAAAAATATCAAGGAATTGTTAACTGGTCGACTAAGGAGCTTCCCCCACACCGGTGATCCTGTCAAAACCTTACCTTGGTGCCATCACCAATCACCCCGAAGGTGTTCTCTTAATCATATAATAGCGCCTGGCAAGGCCAGGCCAGATCTATTTGAACTAGATCTGTAAATGGTTTGGTTTTTAGAAAATCTATTTGAACTCTATCACTTTAATAGACAAGTTCTTCATACAAAACATGAACTACCTTAATGAACTGGTGTGGACCAACTAAACTAAGTTGAACCAGTTTGAAATCAAACCAGTTTGAAATTGGCATTTTCACACACTGGTTTCTAAATTAGTTTTCAAAATTTTATTTTTAAATCGCTAATTGCACTCCAATTGTACACAGCTAGGTTTAGTAGTGCATAATGGTGATGCTTATTTTGATGAGTCAATACCATGTGCAGTGAGTAATCACTTCATATTGGTTGGGAAGTTGGTCACTTTGCCATCCCATCGGTAAATGCTGCTAAGAAGACTTCAACATGAACAAAAAAGGAAAGCAATATTTTCTCTCTACTTTTCTCAATGACCAACCAGCAGATTACCCATATGGAGATTGGATCAGCTCCTCACATCAATGTCACCCACTTGATTGATCTTCAAGAAATCACTGACCCCATTAAACTCAAAACTTAGACACCGTTTTCAACAATGTTTCTACTATCTCTTCCCAAAAACTGTTATACATGCAATAATTTCACTTCCTTTCTGTTCACATTTCAGTTTGCCTCACCTTGCATCAACTCGTTCACAGGTTTGCTAAGGCTGTTAAAAAGAATTAATAGGTCAGGAAACAGAGGGGAAACAACCCTAGGAAGCAAGAAAGAGCTCCATGGCAGCAGAGAAGAGAAGAAGAAGGTGGATATGAAGAACTGCCGAGAGAAAGCGTTGAAACATAGATTAAACTAACAGAGAAGAGAAAACAGGCAAGAAAAACAAATAAAACTCTGTATTATTTTGTATATGAAGCATTATTTTACAAAAGGGAGAAACCTATCTTAAATAGGTTTCTGAGAACTCATACAGGGGTAACCACAAACGGTTACCCTCGACTAATTTTAACATCCCCTCAAGCTGGACGGTGGATGTTTAGGAGGCCAAGCTTGGAGATGATGGTTCGATATTGAGTGCGGTGAAGAATTTTGGTGAATCGATCAGCAAGTTGTTCCTCAAAGCGAATGGGAAGGAGATGAAAGAGGTTGGATCAGACCTTTTCGCGCATTATATGACCGTCAATGTCGAGATGCTTGGTCCGTTCGTGAAAGCTTTGATTGTGGGCTATATGGTGAGTTGATTTGTTGTCACAATACAAAACGGCGTCTTGAGTTGACTTGATGTAAAGATCTCGAAGAAGATAAGATAACCACTGAACCTCAGACGCTGTAGTGGCTAGGGCACGATACTCGGCCTCAGTGGAAGAGCGAGAGCCAGTCCCTTGTTTCTTGGACTTCCATGATAAGAGGAATGTTCCCAGAAAAATGCAAAACCCAGTAGTAGATTTTCTGGTTTCAGGACAGGTTGCCCAGTCAGAATCACTGAAGGCTTTCAGCTGGATTTGATTGTCTGCAGCAAAAAACAACCCTTGTGATGGGTTAGATTTGATGTAGCGTAAGATATGTTGTACAACAACATAATGTTTGATAGTAGGTGTCTCCATAAATTGACTAAGTAAGTGAATCGAGAAACAAAGGTAGTCTGGTATTAGTAAGGTAAGTAAGTGAATCGAGAAACAAAGGTCAAGTATGGTATTAGTAAGGTAAAGAAGCTTTCCTATGAGTATTCTGTAATTTGTTGGATCGGTTAAAGGTTTAGAAGTGTCATATAGAGCTTTGGTGTCCTTCAAGTAAGGTGTAGAACAAGGTTTGCTGCCTAGCATCCTAGTTTGATTGAGAATGTCCAATGCATATTTTCGTTGACATAGGTGAATCCCTTTCTTAGATCTTATCACTTCAAGCCCAAGAAAATATTTGAGTTCTCCTAGATTTTTGATCTTAAAGGCATTGTGTAGGAGAGATTTCACATGTTTCATTCAAGGAATTTTCTGCCAAGATGACATCATCTACATACACAAGTAAGACTATAAAACAACCAGAGTGATATTTTATAAAAAGAGAATGATCAGATTGTGATTGTTTAAAACCAATAGAAACAAGAAAGGTTGAAAGTTTATCAAACCATTGCCTACTGGCTTGTTTTAAGCCATATAGGGATTTTCGTAACCTGCAAACCTGTCCATTTGTGTGCAGGCTTGGTGGAGGTGTCATATACACCTCCTCATTCAAATCCCCATGTAAAAAGTCCTTAGCATGAATCTTTTGTAAATTATGTGATAGGGAAAACAATGCAACATCCAAAAATATCAATATGCATTGAAAATAATTTTTCTAAACTTCCAAAACTAGGTGATGAGCAACAATAAATGACAAAAATAATTATAAAATAAAACATTAATATTTTTAATATGGAGAAATCCCTCAATATGAGAAATAAAGGACATAAGTTAGTTGATCAAACTCCATTAAGATTAAAATATAAATACAAGAAAGTCAAATTAAATGTACAAGTGTTTACAAGCAATTAATACATTAAAGCAATAATGCTCACAAAGAAACCTCAAATCCAACAATAGTGCAAGAACCATATGTCATGAACCTGCTGTCAAAATTTCATCTCGGTCCAATGGTGAACAAAGCGAAAATTGTAATTTACTTGAGGCGGTTCGGTAAATAAGCGAAATAGTTTTCTCTTCTTTTTCTTACAAAATTTAACTATTTGTTTTGACCTAAAATACCATTTTCCAGTTAGGTTAAGTAAAATATAATGAGTTTGATTGATTTAGACTTTTTAGACATAGTTTAGAACTCAACCCAACACATCTCCCCCACACAACTAACTATGTGGAAGTGATTACCAATCCGACAATTTCACAAGTTTCAAATTTTTGTCTTGGCAACGCCTTAGTCATCATACCAACACCATTGTCATCTGTATGCACTTTATCTAACTCCAACAACTTAGCATTCAAAACATCACGTATCCAATGATACCTCACATCAATATGTTTGGATCTAGAATAAAAAGTTGGATTCTAACCAAGCTGAATAACACTCTAACTGTCCACAAATAATGGATAGTTGTTGTTCTGCACAAAACCAAGCTTCTTCAAGAATTTCTTCAACCATAATAACTCCTTGCATGCTTCTGTAACGACAATAAACTTTGCCTCTACTCACTTTTGCAATCTTGATTGTCAAGCCACAACTTCTCTTGCAAACTTAATCAAATAACCTGAAGTAAATTTTCTGAAATCAATATCTCCAGCCATATTTGAGTCTCAGTAACCTATCAAAATAGATTTATCACCTCCAAAACAAATTTTCAAATAAATAGTACCATGAAAATACTTCAAAATCCATTTCACAACATTCCAATGCTCTCTACTTGGATTGGACAAGAATCTACCAACAACATGTATAATATTTGGTATTGTACATACCATTGCATACATCAAATTGCCCACTACAGATATAATGAGAATATTTCTTCAACTTTTCACTCTTTAATCCCAAAAACATATTGTTTGTAGCTAAGTAATTAAGTCATTTTTCACTTATATGACCAAGTCTTCGGTACCACAAAGATGTCTCCATATACATAGCATTCACACTATCCTTGTTAGACAAATGACATCTAGAGGGGGAGGGGGATAGATGCACAAATTAAAATAGATGTCAAATTAAAAATTTATTTGTGAGTCAATAATTTGTTTGAACACAGATAAAGCGGAAACGATAATATAATCAGGAAAAGAGAAAGAGATAAAGGAAAGAGAAGAACACATAATAATTTATACTGCCTCGAGTATAGTCAACCCTACATCCAATTCTCAGTCAACTCTAATAACAAGAGTGACTCCCAATTCACTATCTTTTAAATTCAGTTTACAAATTACAATCAACTCAGCAGAAGAACCAGTAAAAAAATAAACTAATTAAAAAGACAATCACCTCCTTAGAAACCCACTAAGGATGAACACCTCCCTAGAATCCCACTAGGGATGAACACCTCCTCTGAACAAATCAAAGGATGAAAAATACCTCTTTAGAATCCTACTAAGGATGAACACCTCCCTAGAATCACACTAGGGATGAACACCTCCCTGAACAAATCAAAGGGATGAAAACACCTCCTAAACCTACAAAGGGTAAACACCTCCCTAGAATCACACTAGGGATGAACACCTCCCTGAACAAATCAAAGGGATGAAAACACCTCCTAAACCCACAAAAGATGAAGGAGTAAGATAAGAACAGTCACACCTGGGTAATGGAGACAACAAATTGTAGAAGTCTGTAGAATTTCAATCTCCAAGAACAAGTGTGACTAAGAATGAAAGCACAAAAGACAGTAGAGAAGAGAGTTTTCTCAGAAAGTGTAAAATATCTCTGTTGCCTTGCTCATAATTCTTTTCTCAAAACTGATTGAATGTAAATTGTATTTTCGAATTCTGTAATTGTGTGTTTTAATTTTTCATCAAAACTTAATTAAATAGAAAAATAGCATCAGAAAATGGTCGTTTGACATTAATATTTTCGTGAATAAATATCAGGATATATTCAAAAACATTTATTCTTCAAAACAGATATATTTTTCAAATTTGAATTGTCATAATTGATTGTTACCAATATAATCAATTATGACAAAGAAAATCATTTTTCCATTTCTGATGCATCATAATTGATTATGACAGTGAAAAATATCATGTTATGAATTTTATCACACTTGTGCTTTGGAGGCTTATGCATAATATTACTTCATCAATTTTTACCTCCATATCCAGTATTTTAAGACTATATCTAGTCTTCAAGAATCATCTTGGGCTTGTTTGAATGTTGAATAAAATCTTTATCAAAATCATATCTTGGGCTTGCTTGAGTCTTAAATGTTGTCTTAAATCATCATCAAAATCATCTCTTGGGAATGTAGAGACATGTTTCACATTATCATCAATCTCCCCCTCATTGCTTTCAATCATTAGCAACCAAAGTTTAAATCTAATATAACTTATAATTTTTCTCCCCTTTAGTCATGACCAATTTACCTTTAATGAACTTCCATTTATCATAACCAAAGTGATTATCATAACCACAGTCATCAAGAAAATGCATAAAGATCGGATTAGAACATATATCTAGAGCATGTTTGACTCCTCTGAGTAACGTATAATGTAATACCACTATCAATAATATACATGCTCTCATTAGATACAAGACTAACATACTCATAGCCACGAAGAAGAACAAAATTACCATTTGTAATAATAATAACATGATCATAATCATGAACATTCTCTTTCCGCTTGCTTTTCTTGTCTTTGTTTTCCTTTTTCCACTCAAAACATTACTTTTTGAATGTGTATATGTTTATTATAATAATGAAACTCCACATTCTTGTATCTTATCTTGGACTTGTTTTCGTTCTTATCTCTATCACCCTTCGGTTCCTTTTTCTAACTTCTCTCTCCATTTTTAGTGACAAACACCTCAGACTAAAATGAAGAATAATGTGTCTTCCTTCTCATCTCTTCATTAAGAGCACCACTCTTTTCCATTCAGAAAGAAACAATGTCATTAGGGGCTGAGTTCATAATTGAAACTTAAAATATCTCTTAAGACTATGATATAATATTCAATAGTCATAGTCTGAAAACTTCATCATCAAAATTGATATTGATCTAGGAGCCATTGAAACTCATTTAAGTGATATAAAATAGAAGAACTCTCCGTACCTCAAATTCATCAAACCATCCAAAAAATACAATTTATTATTGTCTGACTTAGAAATATATAAGAACTCAGTTTTATCCCACAAATTTCTAACATATGTCTCATTCGCAATGTGATTATAAACATTTTTTAACATATTACCGAATAAAATCACACACATGTTGGTGTTCAAAGTCTCATTCTTCAACAAACCTAGAATCCGACTTATGTGTAGCAAAGAATGGAAGATGCAATTTTTTCACAAACAACAAATCTTTTATCTTACCATTCCATAATTAATTTGTTCTATTTAAAGCAACCATCTTTGTATTTGTCTCCATCATTCAAGAATATAGTCCATTTTGTATATAGTCCAAAACCAAGAGCTCAGATACAACTCTAATAAGGAAAATAACACAGTAACCAAAAATATCAAAGTATGTTGTAGAAATAATTTTCCTAAACTTACAAGAATATGTGAGGAGAAACAACAATATTAATGACGAGAATAATCACAAAGGAGAATAGCAATATTTTTAATGTGGAAAAACCTTCAAGATGAGAAGTAAAAACCCATCGACACAAGTCCGTCAATCAAGATCCACTAAGATCAAAATATGAATACAAAATATTCAAATCCAATACACAAACAAGTAAGTGCTTACAAGGAGCCAATATATCAAAATAATAATAGTCACAGATTTGAAGAATAAAAAAAGAAAAATTTAAAGTTTAGCCATAGTGCAAGACTGATTTTTCCAACCATATACCTCTAATGAATAATCTCAACAGTCCAAACTAAAAATTATATGTGGTAAACTTACTTGTCAAAATTTCAATCTGATCCAATCGATCTAATTGTAAACAAAATGGGAATCATAATTAAAAAAAAATAGTTCGATAAATAAATGAAATAATTTTTTTCTCTTTCAAAAATTACAAATACATCAAAAACCCTCTCCATTTAAATTAAATAACATAAAATAAATTTAAACACGATACAATCGACCTCATTGTAAACGAAACGAAAATCATAGTTTAAAAAAATAGTTCAATAAATAAATGAAATAATTTTTTTTTCTCTTTTAAAATTACAAACACGTTAAAAACCCTCTCCGTTTAAATTAAATAAGATGAAATATATTTAACTAATTTAAACAAATGAGAATTCAAATAAACACGGTGTCGAAAGCATCTAAAGAGTAAAACGTGGGATGAGAGTACTCGTTCATTTGATAGTTTTTCATTATCGAGCCATTCTTTTCAACCATTCATAGAAATTATTATCCTGAACTTATAAATGTTTGATTATCCTGAACTTATAAATATTTATCCTGAACTTTTTATGTAGGATTGATCGCTTAGCCCCTGTTTGGTTGAGGGGAAAGACTATTTACACTGACAGAAAATGAGAGAAATTCGTGTTTGGATGAATGGATTTGCATGGAAGGAAAAGAAGAGAAAAGTCGGACTCCCTTCAAACTCCTTCCTCTCTCATGTGGGAAGAAAGGAGTGGAAAGCTACGTCGAAAAAGGCAAAAGACGAAGCTGCCCTCACTCATTCCGTCATGCATCTCGTGGTGCATGGAACTGTTGGTGATTCCCTCGTGTTGTTCTTGCACGTTCTTCTGCTCCAAGGTCAGGGCTGCATCCAAAGGAGAGGTCAGTCATGCAGAGGTCATGGGCTGCACAACCAACTTCACGCGTTCACAATGTATTTTGTGCAGGGGAGCAGGGACATATGTAAAACCAATTGAGAGTAGAATTGTTCGTGAGTTCTTGCGTTTCTCTTCTCAGTTCCTCAGTTGCTTGTCTTCCTCACTTGTTGCGTTCCTCAGCCTGTAGTTGTATTCTCAGTTAGTCCTTGTTGTGAGTTGTGTTCTCAGTTAGCCCATGTTCTCAGTTGCGTTATTGAGTTGCCTTCGTGAGCCCGTGTTTAGGATCCTCGTCTTCTTCAACTTCTGTCTCTGTTGGAGCTCCTTGGAACCATAGGTAAGCTTCTCCTTTCCTTTCAACCATGGCAGCCGGAAACAACCACCAGAGGAGAGTGTGCCGCCAGAACGAGGAGACAAAAGTCGTCGGAGGAAGAAGACACACCATAATCGATTATGGTGTGTCTTCTTCCTCCGGCGGCTTATGTCTCGTCATTCTAGTGCCAGACTCTCCTTCGGTGGCGCCTATCCGACCGCCATGGTGGGTCTCGTGGGTGCAGCTGGTCCAGTTATGTGCATGCATGAGAGGAGGTCCATAATCCCCATCCACAAGAAGCTGTGCATGGCGACTACCACCTCTGCATGGCGCATGGTAGGAGCCAAAAAATAGCTCCACGACAACCTTTGCATGGCCATCTCAGGCGGCGAGGGTGGACCTTGTGGTTGTGCCCCTGTTTGGAGCCCCATAAATGTGGATCCATGGTTTGTCATACGCGAGGTTAATTTGTTTGTATTTGTGTTGCAGGCTGGATCTTCGCCGACGACCATCAACTTTGGCATGACCTTGTCTCACCAACACCTTGCTTGATATCTTGTCGGAGGAACACCCTAGGTATGGTTCTGTGTCTTCTCTGCCATGGTTGGAACCTCAAACTTGGTTGGTATGTATGTTTTTGGAGTCTGCATGCATGCATCATTTGTAAGAGTGTGTGTGTCCATTCAGATTTGAGATATACAACATGAAACGAGGCCAAACCTCCTTGACTCCAATAGAAAATGGCCACCATACAACCATGGTTTCTGACTTGTGCGTTGGTTATGTTGTTGTTGCAGGTTGTATCTTAGGGGTGTCGTCAAGTTCGCCGTCAGCTTGTCCCACGAAGAGCTTCGTTCATATCTTCTCCCACAGGTATGATTCATATGTTGTCTTCCATAGTTGCAACCTGAAACTGGTTCTAATGGTGTTGTACTCCATGCATGGTTGAGGTAAAAATTGGTAGCTACTTGCATGCATGCATCTTGGAAGCAAAAACCAGAACCAAAAACCCTATTTTTGTAATTATAATTATTATATGGAAAATTTGAATTTTTTTATACATATTGAAAAGAAAAAAATAATTGAGAAATCATACATGAAAAAAATTTATTAAAAATTATGGCAGATACTATTAATGCATAATTAAATAAGGAAAAAAAAGTTAAATATAGTTATATTTTAAAAATAAATTTATTGTTTTTATAACAAATGGAGTATGTAAAATTGAGAAAAGAAAAAATTTATAGAAATGAGAATTTGTTAAAAAAGAAGTAAAAATATTAGTGGAAAAAAATTATTAGTAGTTTTGTAAATAAATTTTGGTTTTGTGAAACAAATTTTTTATCATTTATTTTTTATTAATTAATTTTATTTGATAACAGAAGTCTTGATATATAAATTATTAGATATAAATAAAAAATATATAATTGAAAATTATGTAAAGATGAATTATGTAACTGTGTAATTGTGAATGCAAATTTCATAAAATATAAAATCAAGTAGGTTTAATTATATATATTTTATTGATATCTTCTATAATTGAGATAAAAGATACATATATAAAGGAAGAAAAATAACATCAAAAGCTTTTATGTTATTTTTAATTACTTATTTTTATAGAATTTAAAATTTTTATATTTTAAAAAAATTTCCAATTACTTAAACAAATTGAATTATGTTATTGAAATGTTATTTAATAAATAACTTTTTATATATATGACTTAAATTTATAAATTTTTTTAGGTTAATTGAAATAATTTTTAGCTTTATTATAAAATATATTATATATTTATATGAATAAATGAAAAATATGAATTAAGAATACTAATTTAATAAATTGAAGAGTAAAATAATTTTGAATTAATAACAAATTGATAATTATTAACACCTAAGTTTATGAAGGATTAAACTTATAGGATTTTAGTCTTGTATACATTAAATATATTTAATTTTCTAAATATTAAAATTATATATATATATATATATATATATATATATATATATATATATATATAAATTTTGTAGATGGTAGACAAAAACATCGAGGTTATTGGTTTAGACAATGACAATATAGATACTTGGTTTGGATATAAACATAATTTCACATATACAAAGTGAGATAAAATAGCAAAGCGAGGTAGGAGCAATGACAATTCTTTGTCTGATAGCCTATGGGTTAAATATGTTGTCTACGGTAACTTGTAGTAATAGTAACATTAGGGACTTTATTTCTGAAAAAGAATGTCGTCGGCACAAGTTGATGTCATACCTTATTCATACTGAACAATCTCGTGACATTATTCACATGGGATCAGAGGCATTCATTAACTTGTGTCAACGAGTAAGGACAACTGGATTAGTAAACGATGGGTTACAATCAACATTGGAAGAACAAGTGGCTAAATTTCTCCATATTATCGGATATAACGTTAAAAATTAAATTGTTTCATTTTTTTTCCATCGATCGGGTGAAACCGTTAGTCGACAATCTGGATTAATTGGTATAACTAAAACTAATGTTAAAAATCGATAAATAAAAAAGTCTTAAGGATAGATGGTGGGAGGTTCACGATTTGTTTTATGGACTTAGTGGATTCGCTTGGGATGATATCACAAAATGGTTTATGGCTGAGCAAGAAGTATGGGATGACCTATACTGTTATATGAATTATCATTTGTTGATATAGCAAAACATAACAAAATATAGCAATTACGAGTGTTAACCATTCTCATTAATTTATAGGTGAAGCCTTTTGCAACTAAATGGAGACTGCCAACCATAAATGATTATGATTTGATGGAAGAATTGTGGGGTGCTGATCGAGCCACTGGGCATATGACAAGAATTTCACGTCAGTCCTGAATGAATAGTTCTCGAAGGGCAACAGTCGACTTGAACGTTGATGTGGACCCCACACCAGAGGAGCAGCCATTTGACTTGGCTTTGATGCAAGATTTCATACAACTTACCGATCGCCTCCACACATGGGTTCCGACAGTCCCGCTGAGGGTGTTCAGTCAATGCCATCTGTTGCGTCTACTGGTTCAGGTGGAACCTCTTCATCTTGGGGCACAAAAAAAAAACGCTATGGTTGATGTGATGGAAGGTCTATTTGACAAATTAACAATGAGGTTGGACACATCTACATATTACCTTGGCCAAGATAATACATTGACCCAATGATTACCTGACATAGCTGAAAGACATGTGGTCGCCATTGAATGCAGAAATGACTTAATTAATGAGCAAGTTAATGCGATGAGACAGTCATCAACATTTCAACATTCCAAGTCAGATACATGGGACATGTTAGTCGGTATGAACCTAATAGACGAGCAACTTATGCTTCAGTGTTGTAATCATTTGTGTACTCACGAATCACATGTTAGACGACTTTTTGGCTTGCGTCCACATCTTCATCTCTCCCAATTGTTCATGTTCTTAGGTGGAAGTGATTGAATGGTCTGCTACAAAGACCTCAAAATGCTTTAAGATTCATTTAGGAGCTCTTCGATCACAATGAATTTGGCACACCTACTCGGCAAACATTTCAACGAGATATTGTACATTCTTACGAGGGAACTTCTGACCTCAAAGATTTTACTGTAGAGGATAAGAGCATTATAATTATTTGTTTGGAAAACATCAGTATGCATAAGTTTATAATTTTAGTAATGTTTGTCAAATATCTAATGTTTGTATTAATTAATATTATTTGATAATCAAAATTTATGACATGCAATTCTAAAATCTATAAATATATATATTTTTTAAAATTATGTATTGAAAGTATAAAAATATGACAAAAATATATATTAATATAATATTTAACTTAAATATTTTTACTATTAAGTTTACATGAATTTTTCATTTAATTATTATTCTATTTTCACTATATTTTATATTTATTTAAAATAATAATTTATAATTATATTATTAGTTGTCATAATTATTTGATACTACTAGTCAATATTAATTATTATTTTCTACTTTATAATCATTTTATTATTAGTCAAATAACTTATTTAATATGTCAAAATTATTTTTTATGTATATTAGTGTAAATAATTTTGTAATTGTTTATTTATAAATTTTTAATAATTATTTTAAAAAATTTTAATTTTTAATTTTTTTTCCACGTACAAATAGTGTAAAAAAAATTATTATTATTTTTGTTGCTTCCAAATATGCAGTCAATATTAAAATGCGGGTAGTTGATTAAAAAATTACATTTATAATAATTTTAACTTTATTTTATATATAAAAATAAAATGATAATTTTCTCAAATAATTAATTAAAATTATAATTTTTATATTCCATATCAATTAAATTAAATTGCTTAGTTCCCGTAAATTTTTCCTTCATTTTATACTAGTCTTTATGACCACCATTGGATTCAAGGAGAATTTCTAATAGTTAGTCTTCCCCTTAATCTTAATATCTTTATTAATTAATATAAATTTGATTAAGGTTTCGATCTCAAGTTTCTCAATCTCAAGATTGTGTAAATTACCAAAGTGAATTATTTTTTCCATCCATCTCCCATCCTGCGAAGGACCTCCATCTTCTTCTTCCCTCAAATTCATACTTTATTGGCTGAGAATAAACATGAAAATTACTCGGTTTTCCATGACAATACATAGTTAAAAACAAACAGAAAGGAAATGTAACAAGTTTGTTTGTTTTTAATAAAACTATGATGCGGATCTTATGTTAACAAAATTAGTATGTGTATATATCACATACACTAGATTTTTTTATTATTTTAATATCAATTTTTAAAAAATTAATTGTATTTAAAATATACAAAATGGTAATTACAAGAATTATGAAAAATCAATTTTCACTTCGTCCCCAAAAATATAAAAGTACACTAGAATTTTTTATTTTTTTTTCATTTTAGAATAATCTTACCACCCTATACAATATAACAAGATAAAAAAATTACGGTTGACACGAACTAAAATACTAAAATTAATAATCATATATTTTTAACTAATTTATTTATACATAAATAAATTTAGTTAAATAATACCGAATTTAGTTAATTTATTTATACATAAATTATCTTTTCTAGAATTATGTGAAGAGTAAAATATTATATGTGAATCTAAAACTATACACTTTCTCTATCTTGTGCAAAGACACCAAGATACAATATTTTCATAATAAAAATATTTAAGAGCAAGTAAGTTGTGTTGCATGTAAATCATAAATATTTTTATTCTAAACCAATACAAATGTAGTTTCACTTTTTTTTTCTTACCCAACGAATGAAAAGACAAACAAAAAAAGGTAAAAAGCATCACACTTTGAAGATCGTTACTACTTTAATCATTAATCATGTATGAATGTAGCATAAAATTTTTCCATACACTAAAGCAATAATAAATTTGTAATTAATTTAAAATAAATACTAAAATAATCTTATTATTTTAATAAATGCATTATTTTTATTTATTATAAATGAAAACACTACCTTAATTTACATGAGGGTAACTTAAAAAAGAAATCGTTAATATTTTATTAAACAGTTAGAATATTAGTGCATTTGAAACTTTTTTTAATATGTACTACATGTTTTGAAAAACAAAATAGAAAAATTTACATATGGTATTATTTATTTCTTTTACAATGCACACGTAAAATTTAGCAGCAAATATAATCAGTGCCACACACATATCTGAAACATTCTTGGATGACTCTGCTTTAAATGCATAAGCTAAAAGGCCCTGCTAATTTGTTATCCCTTATGCTATGTTATAGTGATAAATCTGAATGTTGTCCACATTTTGTTTCTTGAAATTGCTTCCCTTTCTGTGAACAAGAAACTTGCCCCATTTGTATGGCCTATATTTCGAAGGGTTCTGGTCATTTGTCATCTCCTCCAAAGGCTTGACTTCGGTGTCATGTGCAGGGTTGAAGAAAAAGGGAATGGAAAACCTTTCTTTCTCAGAATTAACCATCACTCTGTGTTCCACACTCTCATACAAGTCATTGCTCCAAACCTGCATTAATAACTCCATTACTTAAGTATAAGTATCACCTTCTAGTTAAGGGATTATATGGTTCATAAACCTGTATTCCAAGCACCTTCTAATTATTTAAACCAGTGGTACCTGAATAATGTCTCCAACATTGACTATGTAAGCATCTGGTGTAGGTTTCACTCCAACCCATTCTTGATTTGTTTTGCGTTTCACCTCAAGTCCTCCAACCTCATCTTGGGCAAGGACGGTTAAGGCTCCACCATCCTTGTGTCGACCAACACCAAGAGCAAGGTGAGGGTAAGGGCATGGAGGATAGTGGTTGAGACGAATAAAGCTAGTTTGATCTTTGATGAAAAATTCTTCAAACCTCTTTGCCTCAAGACCTAAGCTCAGAGCTATAAGCTCCAACAACTTAAGGGACAGCTTTTCCACCTCTTGAATATACTCTTTTAATATATCCCTGCTCATTTTCTCATCGTTTTATACACAACCCATTAACTAAATCTCCATCTGTAATTGAGAGTGCATGCTTAATTAGTACAAAGTGAAGATGAATTACCTAAAGTTTGAAGGGTATTCAGGGGATGTATTAATCCAGTGAGTGACTCGATCATCATGTTCATCAGAAGTGACAGGAATGAAAGTGGGGTCTTTGGCTAGAAAATCAAAGACTTCTTTCCAGTCCCTGACGTTTTTGGTGAGTTCTGTGTCATAGTAACCAATTATTGAGGTTTCATCTCTGCTAACCTTTTTCTTCTCTTCCAGAGTCTGAGCAAAGAACAATTTTGAAGCTTTCTCAATCCTTTGCCTTAGAGAGAGGGGCACCCCATGGTTGATTACTTGGAAGAAACCCCACTCCTTGCATGCACTCCCTATCTCCTTCACTAAGCCTTCAATGGAAGATGGATCTGAAACTGTTGGGTTGGTTACTGGAGAGAGGTCAACTATGGGAATTCCGTCGACTTGGATGGGGGAGAGCTTTGGCCTGTGTTCTGGGTCTTGGACGAAAGCAGGGTCCACGTCTCCCATGGCTGTTGCTGGTGCTTATGGGTGATTATTGGGTACTTTGCCAAGTGCAGAGTCTCTCTCCTATTATATATGGTGGCTCACTTGTTTCAATCTCAAAGAAAAATGATTATTTTGCAAATAAGATTACTACACAACACTGTGATCAATCAATAGAATGGTGGAGAGGGAAAAGTTTACATAATTACCTGAAAATTTTGAACTTCTACCTCAGAATCTCTTTCAGGTCACCAAAAATCTTTGAAGAATGTGTGGGAGTTTATTACTGTCTCCATTCACATCCATCGAATCTGGACTAGTGTCCCTGCTTTGTACATTCTTAACAGGCCATTATCTCTTTAAAAAAATAATAATTTTAAACAAAAAATAAATTATGTATTTTTATAATTTAAATTATATTAATAAAATTAATTTTAAATATAATTTTTTTAAAATATAAATTTAAAGACATATATATTTTAATAAAATAATATTATTTTAATATTTTTTAAATTATAATTATTTTAAAAAATTCATCTCAACTCTTCAAAATCACATGCTAAATAAACCAGAACAAAATTAATATAGGTCAATTTAAATTATTATTTTTATTATTTTTTTAACTAGAAATTTTTTCGAATTTTTTTAATTGATTTATTTTAACAAGTATTTATGTTATACCTTCTCGTAGATAAATGAAAAATATAGATCCAATTTATCTATGAAGTTTTATATAATCAGTTATTTATGCAAGAAACTAGTAAATTTCATTTAATCGATTATCACAATCTTTCGTAAAATAATTGAATAAATAATATTATTTTAACGTTAAACACATTTCTCTAATAGTATATTACTACCTAGTATTAAATTAATTATTAAATATTATCACGATAAAGTTAAAAAAAAAAAACTAAACAAAATAAGTTTCTTACAACAACATGACATTTTAGAGAAAAAAAAAAGAAAAACTTTTTCAAATATTGATAAAATGATTAAGCACTCAATCCTTATCAATCAAGAAATGCAAAACAATAAATGTATGAATTTAAGAACTTCTACAACACGCTTAAAGTTTAGGATCAAGAAAAGAAAGATGAGATGAAGCTTTAAACAACTAAAAAAAAGACATATAATTATTTAAATTTATTTTTAAAATTATAAATATCAATATAATATGTTCTTAAAATATTCTAAATAAATATGATTTTATAGGACTTAACCTAAAATTTAAAAAGTTAATGTAATTTGTTTGGAAATAATGAAAAACATTATTTTTGTAAAAATATTTCAACTTCTTAGATAATATATTAATCAAAATAATATTTATTTATGAATACAATTGGTTGTAACTTTCTCATATCTTTACCATTATTGAAAATATAAATTGATCATATATTTTCATGTATAAATATATGCTAGTTATATCTTTTAAATGATAATTGAATTTTGTAAGCCAATTATTTTTATTCATTATTTAAAAAATAATCGTGGAGTCACTTAGACTTTGTAGAAATGAAGAAATAGTTTACATCAACGATCCTGTAAAACCACATTTATTCAACACTAAAATCTTCAAACAGTAAAATCAATCAATCAAGGACTCATGCAATTTCAATCTCTTTCTTTTATTAGACGCTTCGGTCATACATGATGCACTAGTACTTTTAGCAGCATGATAAGATCATTGTGCAGCATATCAGAAACATTCTTGGATCATTTATTATCCTTTAAGCTATCTTATAATGATAAATCTGAATGTTCTCCACGTTTTTCTTCTTGAAATTGCTGCTCTTTCTAGTGACAAGGAACTTGCCCCATTTGTATGGCCTATATTTTGGAGGGTTTTTCTCATTAGTCAATTCCTCCAAAGGCTGCACTTCGGTGTCATGTGCAGGGAAGAAGAAAAATGGAATGGAAAACCTTTCTTTTTCAGGGTTAACCATCACCCTGTGTTCCACACTCTCATAAAAGTCATTGCTCCAAACCTGCATTAACAACCCAACACTCGACTATAAGATAAGCATCACCTACTAATTAAGGGTTTATATTTTCATACTCTCGTATTCCACAGATGCAATATTCAATAGTATTAACTCAGTAAAATTTCAACATCTTCAATCTTTATATAGCTTAAGCAACCCACCTGAATAATATCACCAACATTGATTATGTATGCATCTGGTGTAGGTTTCACTCGAACCCACTCTTGATCTGCTTTGCGTTTCACTTCAAGTCCTCCAACCTCATCTTGTGCAAGAACGGTTAAGGCTCCACTATCCTTGTGTCGACCAACACCAAGAGCTAGGTGAGGATAAGGGCATGGAGGATAGTGGTTGAGACGAATAAAGCTAGTTTGATCTTTGATGAAAAATTCTTCAAACCTCTTTGCCTCAAGACCTAAGCTCAGAGCTATAAGCTCCATCAACTTAAAGGACAACTTTTCCACCTCTTCAACATACTCTTCGATTATACCCCTATCCATATACACATATATTCACATGGTTTATCACAACCCGTTGACTAATTTTCCATCTAGTTGAATTTTCAAGAAAAAGACGAAAGGAAAGAGGAATTTTGTTTGAACCAGAATTTGACAGCTTATAACTATAGCATACAAAGTGAAGATAAATTACCTAAAGTTTGGAGGGTATTGAGGGGATTGATTAGTCCAGTGAGTGACTCGATCATCATGGTCATCAGAAGTGACAGGAATGAAAGTGGGGTCTTTGGCATGGAAATCAAAGACTTCTTTCCAGTCCCTGACGTTTTTGGTGTGCTCTGTGTCATAGTAGCCATTTGGAGAAGTTTCATCTCTGCTAACCTTCCTCTTCTCCTCTAGAGTCTGAGCAAAGAACAACCTTGAAGCTTTATAGATGTTTTGCCTTAGAGAGAGGGGCACCCCATGGTTGATTACTTGGAAGAAACCCCATTCCTTGCATGCTCTCCCTATCTCCTTCACTAAGCCTTCAATGGAAGATGGATCTGAAACTGCTTGGTTGGTTATTGGGGAGAGATCTATCACAGGAATTTCTTCAGCTTGGATGGTATACAACTTTGGCCTGTGTTCTGCGTCTTGGATGAAAGCAGGGTCTACCTCTCCCATGGTTGTTGTTGTTAGCTCCGATGATTGAGTTCTTTGCCAAGTGCAGAGTTTATTACGTATATAATAAACAAAACCAAAGCAATAATAAAGATTTGATGAATATTATCTGTCACATGTATAAAAAAATGAATATACGATGATAAGTGAACGAAGGTAAAGAAGATTTCATATATTTATTTGAAAAATAATTCATTCTCAAATTAAATCGGGTCAAGATTTTTCAAACCTGTTTCACACTTTGTTAATTGATCACAATAATAAATAAATAAGATACATGAGAAAGAGTAAGCGATATTTTCACAACCAAAAATCATAAAAAAATAATTTACTTTTATTAATATAATAATTTATAAACTGATTTAATAAAAATTAAAATAAAATATGCGAGTTAGTATTTATGTGATTGTGATTGATTTGTGCAGATACATTGAATCAGGACATTGTGCTTCTGGATGTTTCCTCTTCAAACATAAGAAAAGGAAATTATATTACCAACAACACCATCGTTAATATTAACATATAAAGAATTTTTACATTAACTACATGATTATTTATTAATATATTAAGACAATTTTAATTAATTCATAATTATGTGACTCAGGGAGTCAAATGTGATTTAATAAAATATAAGGACCTATTAATTATTATGTGAAGTCAAAATAAAAATAAAGATAAAATAAAATAAAAACTTATGGTAATCAACTTGATGAACATTGGTTAATAAAAGAGAATTAGGGTTCTGCCTCTTGTCATAAGGTTTTTTTCACGATAAACCATAAAAAAACGTGAAAAGAGAAAGAAGGGCAAAAAGATAGATTGAGAAAAAGAGGTTAAAGTTAAAGAACAAACTCTCATAGATCAAGGTTAGTCTTTTTATTATGATTCATGTATGTTATAATGTGAAAATCAATAATCTAAATATCCTGTAGAGTAGTTTTCTAGAATGAATTAAGAACATAGAAAAACTACAAATTAACTTACATGTGGTATTAGAGCATGATTTTTAGATTTATGATTTTCCTTTTATGAAAGTATTTCTCAAATTTTTTCCAAATTAAGATAAACCCTAATTATGAATTTAGGGATTTCTCTATATTAATATGAACCTTAATTTATTCTCAAATTTATTTTTCTAAAAATTAAATAAAGGAATAAACCCTAATTATGTTTTAAGTTCAAATTGAAACCAATTTTATAGCCCTTATACGTGAATGACTCAGTAAAAATGATGTGATTAGGTTAGGGTGAATGTATGAAATTGGTTATAATTATGTTATAATAATGTTATAATTATGATGGAAGAAAGGTAAACAATAAAATTGATATTTTGACTAACTGCTACTGTTAGTATGCATCATGGACCATGCTTGCAGAGCACATTTGCATGTTCCTTTTTATTATGCATAATTATTATATGTTCTCGGAGTCTTTTTTTTAGTGAATAATTAGTTGTTACGTTATATCTACATATTATTTTGTCCACGTATAATACATGTAATAACTGCTAATAATGCACTGTCACGGAATGTGCTCAGTTTTACTTTACGTGGTACGTATAAATGAATGATTGTCACTATTATGGGATGTACCCATATATAAATGCCTTAATTGCAAATTTTGTTTTGCAAATTGAATTAAATTATTTATGCTATAAGTTGCGCATAAAAGTTTTGAATTGACAATTTCAATAAAATTAAGGTCTTAGGATTGAAAATTAATCCTATAATTGATTGAAATTGAAACTATGGGTTTTAATTTTATTTATGGCACATAATATTTTATTATGTGAATAATGTACATATTTATTAAAATTAATAATAATAAAAAAAATCTATGAATGGTTAATAACAATTAAAGATATTATTTATTTGAAATTAAGCATGATAAATTTTGTTAGTCACCAAAGTGACCAAAATTT